AGACAGATTGGATACTACTCAGTGGAGAGTCTACTTTCCTCTACGCCCTCATTCTAGGTTCCCTCTTGAAAGCTTGTAAGCCAGTCACTTCTTGCCTTTGTAGCACCCCCCCCACACACACACACACACACATTTTGGGTAGCCAATGTCCAAGGTGCCGATCCCTGTCTACTCTGTGTATGGAGGGGGTGGGAATGATCCTTGTTATAAAGATTTGTTCCCTCTTGTGAGCTACTGCATCCATAGGTGTAGGTTAAGTTCATCAAATTGTATAGACACTAATATTTCGTAATAGAATGCAATGTAAGATAAAACAAAGTAAATTTGCATCAACTGACTTCTGATTATGACTTTAGTAGAGCATCAGAAGCATTATGTGGTTTTCGGATTTCCTTCTTTCAAATGAGACTATACAGGACTGAGCAAGTCCACAAGGGGGTACCCTTTTCTTACATGCTTGTCTGCACAAGTGTCAACAGTAACGTCTACATAACAGCAGTGTTTCCACATTGTCCTGGTGCCTCAAGGATTCAGGGATCTACTTCTTCTCACTGTACCTTTATTCTCACTTGAACAAAAACACAGACCTCTACTTTATAGCTTGAAAAGTGTTAGTATGCTTTCACAAAATGACAGTAGTAATGATAGAGGTTAAGGAAATGGTTGAAACTAGTTCAAATTCTAGCTTTACCTCTGCAGCAGCATCTGTAAAATAGGAACACAACACAATATGGACCTTTCCACATCCAAAATATAGAACATCTGGAGAGAAGTTTATAATGCACAGTAAACACACAAAAATATCCATACCCAAATTATAGAATTTTTATTGTTTCCAAATACTATACAAAACAAAAAATAATCAACAGTGTGTATATCTTGATGAACATATCCAGAAATAATGAGCTCAAATTAAACATGTTTCCCCCCTGATATTTCAATGTTTACTTTTGAGTTGTTAAGAGGATAATCTAATTAAGGATTACTGTTCTCTTCCGTTCATTACTTTGGCCTTATAAGCATGAGAATTCCTGCTTCTCTTCCCAACAAACTCACTAAATTAAGGATATTCCTTTGTAAAAAAAAAAAGAATCTCTTTTCAAAGTTTCTCTTTTCAAAGTTATTTTCTCTTAATGACACATTTTCTTGGGTCCTTAAAGATCTGGGATTTCACTCTCAAGTTTCTGTTTTCTTTTGGTGCCAAATACAAAATAAAACAAGGTAAACAAAACCTCTGTCTGGTATTCTCAGTGACTGCTAGTTCACAATTTTTAAGTATCTGTGAATTCATAATATTGAATCTGCCACAAAAGTAATTTTGAATATTTCTAAATCTATACGTTAATTTTTCTAGATTTCTCCACACTCTACTTATTATACTTCTTGAAGGGACAGAGTGCTTTAAAATAAATCATTTAAAATCATGTCATTTCTAGTTAGGGTAGGCAAATGCCTAGAAAAGTGAATCCAGTTTCTCCTTTGACAACTGTATGCAGGACACACCGACATCGTAATTCTCAGCCCCAGTTCTATTGTGTTTCTTTTATATGGACAGTAAAGAGATTTGAAGATACTTCACCTAACTTAAACTGTGATCTCACTCCATTATGCTTTGTGGAAAATACAGAAACTGGTCAGGACATCCAGAGAAAATATGATGAAGAGCTGGGGATCAAAAAAATGAAAAACTTGTAAGACTTCCTTGTTAAGTGCCATCGAGTTGGTTCCAACTTATAGTGACCCTGTCCAGGGTTTCCGAGAAGCAGCTGGTGGGGTTGAACCTCCAATCCTGGGGTTAGCAGTCCAGTGCTTATCCTTCAGCACCACACCAGGACTCCATTATCAGACTGTTGGTGTTATTAAGTGTTGTCAAGTTATTCCAATTCAGCGATCCTATACAGGGTTTCCAAGAAGCAGCTGGTGGATTTTGACTGCTAACTTTGTGATTAGCAGTCCAATGCTTACCCTATAGTGTCACACTAGGGCTCCAATAAGAAAGGCTGATACAAGAATAACTTGACAGTTATGTTGAATCATTCCAAGATTTTTATAAAAAGACCGTTCTACAGAACCATTCTTAATGATTCAGTAACCAGCTTTAAAGCCTCTAGAAGGAAATTAATATTTAGAGTATTTCAGTCTGATACCAGTAAGCAGTGATTGATTTCAAGCTGATGGTTAAAAACAAACAAACAAACAAAAAACTGCCTTCATGTTTAGCATAGACACCAGGTGATTCTTTAATGCAACAAGCTATTTTCAGACCACTAGTCTCAGAATATAGATTGAGACCTACACTACTGATACACAAAATTTATTAAGCTTTTTACATGTAATTTAGCAGAGTTTCAATTGCATCTAAAGTGCTAACAACAAAGCTCTAGTGATCAAGAATGGTAGTGTTATTTTATAATAATCAACACTGTGGCTTTTCAAATTTGGTTTTTATAAGGTAATTGATCCTAAAGTAAATCATCTAATCATGCTTTTAAAAAAATGTTCTAGGTCATTCCAAGCTTGGCAATTCATATTTGGTATAAATAATAATAAACAATCACAACTTGATAAACAATAAATACAACATTGTAGGCCAGAACAACAAAGGAAAAGATGGTGATCAGTAGTTACTAGAATTAAGAGAGTACCTTGGCCTCTAGACAGACATGCCAGAGGCTTTCATTCATTCAACCCTAACACTCAGTTTTCAAAGTAGGGGGCAATGTCTACAATATCATTTATAGTTTTTATCACAATGAAAAGAAGTAAGTCGGAAGTGATGAGTTGGGTGCTTTTTTGGGGGGTGGGGGCCGGGTTGTTGAATGCATTACATCCTCAGATTCAGGAGTTAATCACCAACTCCTTAGTAGAAAAAAATGTCGTGATTATTTTTGTAACTTTGTGTGCTTCTTTTGGTAAAGGGTGCTAAATGAATCAAACAGACAGCAATATTTTTTCCTAATGTGACTGATTTGAGCATTTTTACAGCTAAAAAATGTCAGGTTTCTGAATTAAACATTTAACAAGAAAACTCATATTTTAACCTATGGACAGATACTACAATATACTTTGTTCTGAATATTATCTTGTGAATTTGCCTCTGAAATTAAGATTTTAATCTGATGAAGAATTAATTGATACAAGTGCCACGATAAACAATACACTAAAATTCTCTGCTGTCATTTGAAGATAAACAAAAAATACAGAGTCTCACTCTCACGACACCTAGTATTCTGAATTTCTGTGCATTTTATCACTTACAAAACTATACCAATTTGGATGTAGAACTGATTTATTTAGTCCAGCGTATTCATAATATTTAGAAGATAAGTACCTTTTTCAAAATCAGTGTTTATTCAAAATAATTTTTTTTTGGTAGCTGACAGTTCTTCCCTTAAAGGTAAAGAATACTATGCCAAAACTTTTAATAACCATAATTTGGAAAAATTAAAGGAACAATTTTAGTTAGGAATCAAATATACAGAGAATCAATGAGGGGAAGGGGATTTTACAGAAGACAAAGATTAAACTGACATCCAGATCCAGAGCAATTGTGTAATGTAGGAAGGAACTGGAATGGCCTGGCAACATTGGAGATCACTCTAGTATTTCCAAGGTACTTTTGATGGTGGTGTCTTAATGCAAGGCTTTAAAGTGTATATTAAAAGATGTTTTCCAGGGACAGAAGAGAAGATATTTAATTTTTTTTTTTTTTTTAAACTCACAAATTATTTGGTCAAAGGCATATCTAAAGCTGAAGAAAGCACATCTGGTAGAAATGCATGGCAATGAATGTTGACAAGATGTGCTTGGATCTCCCTTGCAGCATCTGGCAGTGGGTAGCAGAACAAGGGGAGGAATCACGGGGTCTCCTGGGTCTGCTCAGTAAGAGGCTCCGTACTGGTGGCACTGGCATTTGCTGTTGAGTTCAAGACTTCTCCAAAATCACCCCCAGCAGGCTTGGTTCCCCCTACTTTAGACTTAAAAAAAATTTCAAAAAGGAAAAAAAATCATGAAACATAAATTTAGCTGTCTATGTATAAAAGTTAACTCAATTTTACTTTAAAGAACAAATATATCAGAAATCAACGAGCTCAGTGATTTAATAACAAAACTGTAATTTTCTCTGCTCAAATACTCAGATTGATAAATCGCACCCTACACTCTCTTCCTCCTACCTGCTAGTTGTTCTTCACACGGAACTTTGTCTAAATAACTTTTTAAGACTTATTAATTTAAAATACCTAATGGATTCTCTTTATACTTGAAAAACACTTTATATTTCATCAAATTGTTCATTCAGCTATACTTATTCATAAATATTAAGTAGAAAAACAAATGGATACATATATTTCCCAGTTACAATGTAAGCTTTCTGACCCTTTGTTACAGTGTGGTTCAAAGGTCTACAGAATCAACATTACCTGAGAGCTTGTTAGAAATGCAGACTCCCAGGTACCCAGCCCACCACCTAGTACAAACCAAATTGAAATCTACAGGTCAACAAGATCCCAAGGTGATTAACCATGATAACCATTAAATGTTTGGAAGCACTACTCTCAAGTATCTGACCTGAAGTGTCCATAAACATTAGTTTGAATAAATGTATCTGCCTTGTGCTTGTACAGTATTTTACGCTTTTCAAAGTCCTTACACCTAACATGTCACTTATTCTTACCAATCTGATCTATGTTCTCTCACCACATTACAGCTCATGACTGACCAACAGGACAGCTGGCTACCAGTAACAAACCAGTCAATAGTCAAGAGTACAAGAAGTTCATAGTGGAACTTGAATTTGACCTTGCTTTTTAACCTTGAGTAGCCAGAGACTAGTTAACAGTTAGAAACTAAGTGGAATTCCTTCTCACTCTTTCTGGTCTTCCATTCAAAACCAAGCAGTACTTCTGAACTGTTTGCATAGCATATCCAATATAGTTACTAGATTCATTAAAACACATTCCTTAACCATAAGAAAATGTTAAGAATCTGTAACTGAACATGTTCTAAACTGAAGAACTCCTCCCCCTTACTAGTCCTATCTCTATTTTTTGTTTAACTTCATTTACTAGTAAACCCACTGCTGAGTGAATTCTGACTCATAGCGATCCTACGTAGGGTTTCTGAGACTGTAAATCTTTAACCTCATCTTTCTCCCTTGGACTGGTTGGGAGGTTTGAATCGCTGACCTTGCAGGTAGCAGTCCAACACGTCATTCAGAGTGCTATTACTATTGTTGTTAAGGGCCAATGAGTCGGTTCCAACTCCAAGCAACCCTGTATAGGGTTTCCAAGAAGCAGCTGGTGAGTCTGAGCCACCACCCTTGCAATTCATACTGACTTTGCAGTCCAGTGCATTAGGGCTCCTTTTAAATGGTAGTGTTGCTGCTGTTGTGTGTCATCGAGTCAGTTCTGACTCACAGAATCTCTGTGTAGGGTTTCCAAGAGCAGTTTGTAGATTTGAACTGCTGACTTTGCAGTTAATAGTCCAGAACTTATACTACAACACCACACCCCTCAAATTGCCCAACACAAATTTCCCAGTGTTCCGCAAATGGGTCCCAAAGTTTCAAATATTCCCATCAACCTAAAGGTTTCAATTTATATGATTACATCCCCTAAGAGTCCTTCCCTGTGTGTGCTCTCCCTCCTGCCAATCTAGCCAGGAGTTCTGCGATATGTGCTCATTTCACCCTAGACTTTCCCTTCATAAAGTTTCCCTTCATTTTCATTGATCATTTGACTGTTTGAACATTTTACAGAAACAGTTTGTTGTCTCCCTCCAGTATCTCCAGTGCTTAACAGTTACTGCCTGGTACACATGGCAGATGTTCAATACATGAAGCAATCAAAACTACAGTTACTTACATAGAGACCCAGTGTTTAACGGAATATAAATGCAATTAAGCAAAATTTAATATCACAAGTATATTTTATCACTTTCAGAGACTATTTTTAAACAGTGTGGATAATGCATAGTTTTCAGAAAGCTTATTTAATGCCCTATACATTAAAAAATTATATATTTATCCGATACCTAGTCAAGAGGCTTTCACAATAGAGTTTAATCCTTAATATACAACTACCATAATTATCAGAGTTAGCTTAGAGAGAGAGAAGTGTAAGGGCTTTTATTGCATTTTTTTTTTTTTTTTTTCCCAATCCATCCCTGGGGACATTATACAGCATCAACCACAAACTAGTACAAATTCAACCACAAACTAGTACCAATTCTAGAGAGAGAGAGACAGTTAGCAGTGAATGAGAATTAAATGGCTTTCAGGTGGCCTGTAGTCCTGAGAGTTGGTGATTCTATAGTTTTGAGTATCATCATGAAGATAACAGTTGATGCTGTTGTTAAGTGCCTATGAGCCGATTTCAACTCAGACTGACCCCTGAAAAGGTTTTCTGAAGAGCGGAAGGTGGATTTGAACCACTGATTATACAGTTAGCAGTCCAGTGCTTATCCTACAGTGGCACACCAAGACTCCAAATACAATTTACAAAATATGAAATTAGTAATTATGACAAATAGTTTCTCTCCATTCAAATCAAAGACATAAGTAAAACAATGAGTCTTCAATAATCGCCATGATGGCATTATTTTAAATGATTGTAAATTTCCAATGATTGAGGAGGCTTAAACACTGTCCATTATAAGACATATGAAGGGGCTTCAAAAGTTTGTAGAAGGGGAGAACAAACAAGATGGTGGATCCTGTAGACGTGCAGTGAGGAGCTCCATTAACAACAACACAGAATACTGGACCAAGCAGGCTCAGGAGACGGTGCCAGATCTCTGAACCACTTAAAAAGGAATATTTAGAAAGTTGGAAGGCTTACAGCTAGAGGAATTTGTAGCAGAAGCAAGAAATCCATTGTTTTCTAATTCAAGATGCTCAGCTGCTCCTGGAGCCGCCATCTTGGGCAAGACCAAGCGGGGGAAGGATCAAAGCAGCCTCGGACGCCTGACAGATCACGGAGATAAAGGTGTGGACATTCTTTTTACTTTGGTATCTGTTCATTGGTCTCTCGCTGTCTGTGCACTTCCATTCTGGTGACTAGAGCGGGTACCTGAGCAAGTGGACACCCCAATCCCACCGCTGGAGAGATCTATGATGCATGCACACAGATCTCCTAGAAATTTAAAGTGACAGTTTCCACTTAAAACCAAACGGCAGTGCAAAATGACCACCGCCGGCCCTGAAATGTTTATCACTAGGGAAAAGGCCTGAACAGGGATTGTGGAGCGGGACTGGCAGAATAAAAAGGAACTAGGCCAAAAGTTAAATCCTGAGTTACATCACAATGACCAAGAGTGGCATCTTGAAATTTCTCAGGAAGAAGACTGAAAAGGGAAACCCATCTCCTGATCACATCTACCTGGAGGCAGTCAGAAAGCTTAAAAAATACCAAAATACACAGCCATCTAAGTATTAAGGCCACAGATAACTCCTGAATAGTCCCAAAAAACACAAGCAGATGACCATATCAGCACATGTCCAGAAACGAGATAAAGTAACTGATACAAATGAGCTGGAAGTAGACCTACACTCCATACTGAACAACGGGCAGGCTTTGGAAATGCCAGAGAAGGAATTCAGAAAAATGATTATAAAATGTATCAAAACACTATACAATGGAGTTGAAAAAAATAAGGAGGAAGTCAGGAAAGCGCTACAGGAACAATCAAATTAGATAGATACAGCATTGGAAACAATTCAAAACCTACAGAAAGAGGTCTTTTTAATAATAGAATACCAAAAATGGACAATACACTGAAAGGGCAAAGGAGTAGAATTGAAGAGATAGAAGCCAGAACTAGTGAGCTAGAAGATAAATCTCTCAACAGTACTAAGATAGAAGAGCAAACACAAAAAAAAGGATATCTGAAGAAGGCCTAAGATTCATGTTGGACAACATGAAGAGGAATAACGTAAGAATTATTGGCATTCTGGAACAGGAAGAATCACACAAGTCCACAGAGGAGATAGTTGAAGAGCTACTGGAAGAAAAGTGTACTAACATTCTGAAAAGTGAAAAGATAAGCATTCAAGAAGCTCAACAAACCCCAGGAAGACAATCACTAAGACATATAATAATCAAGCTCTCCAAATTCAAAAGATAAGGACAGAATCCTGAAAGCAGCTAAGGAAAAGAGAAGTGTTAACATACAAAGGCCAGCAAACCAGAGTAAGCTCAGACCTCTCAACAGAAACCATGCAGGCAAGAAGGCAATGGGGAGATATATATAAAACCCTGAAAGAAAAAAACTGCCACCCAAGAATCCTCTACCCAGCAAAGCTGTCAATCAAATACAAGGTGTAATCAAAACATTCCAAGATAAACAAAAGCTAAGGGATTTTGCCAAAGCCAACCCTGCTATGAAAAATATCCTAAAGGACATTCTGTGAACTGAGAACCGAACAGACAACAACCAGAGAATGATGTACGTGGCAGGATCACCCTGATCTCAATCAACAAAGAACAGAATAAAATTATAAGAACAGAGGATCTGGGAGGTCAGTCTATGATCAAAAACAAGTACAATGTGAAAGAAGGTAAACACAGAGGAACAGAGATCCAGGTAGTGGAAAGGTCAGGTAGATTACAAGATGTTTACAATAGACTGTCTTAAATAGAGGAAAGAGTTAACAGAATATAAGGTAACCACAACAGTGGGGCTGGAGTGGGAAGTTTAGTTTGGGTGTTGGGGAAGGCAATACAAGAAAGGGGAGGAGGTGGAAGAACAAGATAGATAGGGGAACACTAGACAGGTTTCATGTCCTAAGTGGGACAGAGGTAAATAGTGATGCATGCTCAAACTTGGAACATAAAGGCTCTGTGATACAGGGATCTGGGCATAGTTTGAAGAGGGGAAATAGTACTAAAATGGTTGACTTATTAGTTTCCCTTGCCTACTATTGTAAAATAGACAATTAAGTGGGATAGAAAAGAATGTTGGGAAACATGATTA